TTGACAAGTTTTTTAGGAATTCTTGCGATTAATTACAATAATTTTCCATTAAGATATCTTGATTGGTGCGAGGTTCTTGACATAATGAAGATCATGTTACGAAATATGTCAAGGTAATTAGAAGAAGAATATGTTTCTTTTCATAAATTGTCATTAATTAATATATTTATATATCTTATGCAGGGTTATTTTTGGTTGATGATTTCGGGTACAAAAGTTTATTTTAAAAGCAATGGGAGAAAAGTGGAAATACTCAAAATATGATTTGTGTAAACAATCAAGATGGTACTAAAGCAGTAGAAGAATTGAAGAATGCTGTGTTGAGTGGTGTCTCTAGAGAAGATTGGGCAACATTCATTGATCATCGTTCAAATCCCAACACCCAAGTAAGATTTTTTTTTTAAAATAATTTTTTCTCAAAATAAATTATTATAATAATAATTATTTTTTTTATAGTGATTTCACAAAAAAATACTCTAAGTGGGGGTCATTTGAAGATTTACCATATGAATGGAATTCTCAGTTTCCTGAGAAGAAGGGGTTATATGATATTTTTTTAATTTGTCTATCAAATATATAATATTATATATATATATATTCAATAATAGAAATATTTTTTATAGGAAGAGAAGATGGACAACAAGTGAACTTTGTAGAGCTTTACAAAGCAACTCGTTAAATAAAGAGGGCAATCTTCCAAGAAGAAACGGCTGCAGCCATTGTGAGATAATAATTATTTGATTAACAATTAACAATTTCAAAATTTTTCTAATTTTTCTTTTTTTAATTAGGAAAAGCTCAAAGAATATATGAAAGTCAGTATTCATTAGATTTTAGTGTTGTGGTAATGATATTTCACTACAAGGTTTAGGCCCAAAATCACTATGGACGTTGTGAGGGATTGCGATTAGCTCCAACACCGACACAAGTATTTGGATGTTCTCGTCAAGTCAAGGGACATTAGGGCCTTTTGCAGAAAATGCATTTGACCAAATGAGAGGACGGAGTCCATAACGTTGAGGAGTAAAATAAAAGATTGCAAGAAGAGTTGGATCTAGAAAGAGAAAGGATTGGCTATGGAAAGAGAAGAGAGAAGAGAAAGGAAAGGGAAAAGGGAGGAATGATTTTTGACATGCAAAAGGAAATGGAAGAAAGATTCATGCTGTCGATGGATAGAATGAAAATGGCTAATGCGACACTTTAATTCAGTAATTATGCTTAACTTGTTTTATTTAGGCTTTTTTCATCTTATATTTTTTAATGTTACCTATTTGCTATATTTGCAAGATTCATCTTCCAATGCTAGTCCAAATAGTAGATCAAATGAGGATTTGAACAATTCTCCAGGCTCTTTTCATAAATGAATTTTCTTCTTGAAATCATTATTGTAATGAATAATGAATATTTGTTTCTTTTGTTTTCTTTCTGTTTAAATTTGTTAAAACTTGATGAAGAATGTTTTATTAATTTTTTTTTTCAGTTATAATATTCTCCTTTCATTTTTTCATGAATAATATATAAATTATTTGTATTAATATTAACAACATAATTTTCATAATCTTATACGAATTTATTTAAAAAAATAAAATTTTTTTATTACAAAAACTAATATTTATTATTATCTAAATATCTTTTGGTTAAAATTAGTACTATAAAAATTAGCATAACAAAATAGATTTAATTATATAATGTTGATTATGGTAGAGGTAATTTATTCACAATCATTATTTCTGGTACCGTAGAAAATATAAACATATTTTTTTAATTATTAAGACTAAGCAATTTGTGAGAAATTAATTAATGAGTTATAATTAATATTATAAATTTTATTAACTTAAATTGACCATTAAACTACATAACAACAGTTAATAATATAGTAGTTTTTTTGTTAGGACGATTTAATTATTTTAATTATTAATAAAAATATTGTGATTTTCTTAATATAAAATAAAATAAAAATAATTAAATTAATTATTTTAAAAACTGATACTGGCTCATGTTGAGCCACGTTTTTTACAAAAGTGTGCTTGAAGCCACCTTTTTTTAGAAAACGTGGCTTATTAAGCCATGTTTTAGTACCAAAAACGTGGCTTATAAAGCCACGTTGGCTTTATCTGCTTTTATATATGCTCTTATCTGCTTTCATTTGTTGCTTGCTTTTCATTTGTTTCTCACCATATCTCATTTTCTCATGTTCCTATATCCTCTGACTCTTTTTTTTTTTTCATGTAATTGTTTATGATTTATTAATTTTTTTATTTATTCATTTCTTATTTGTAAGTAAATTTTTTATTTTATCTATTTTTTACTCTATCTGTCTCTTTTAATTTTTCCATTTTTTTTAAATTTCTAATTATATTTTTTCTTTGGGAAATATTATATCTTAATAAGATTCTAAAATATTGATTACAAATATTTATAAGTAGAAACAAACATCTATACATCAACCACGCAACAAAAATATTTACATAACTTGTATTAATAATCTAATCAAAAATAATTAAAATTTAATTGTCGAAAACAATTTGAAAATTAAATTTGTGAAATAATTTTTTCAAATATACCAAATACTAATAATATTAATATAGTAATTTGAGTATTTAAATAGTTCAAAAGCTTGTGAAAAAGATTTAAATTTTCAAAAAAAATTATCACAATTTTATTTAATGAAATAAGTCAGTACCACGTTAAACGTGGATTTAATATAATAATATGTAATATTTAAATTTGAAAAATTTTTTAAAATATTTAATTTGCTACCAAAAATGTTACTAATGTTTTTAAATAAAAGTAATAGCCATGTTTTTTGGAAAAATGTGGCTAAAGTCTGACAATATGTCAGGTTTAGCGATACACATTTTTTTTTTTTCAAAAAAGTGTGGCTTGAGCCACTTTTTTTAAAACTGAGGCATGTTTCTTGCCATGGTTAAAATAGCCACATTTTTTCCAACTATTGGTATGAAGCTTTGCTACGTTTTAAAAATGTGGCTATTGAACAAATGAAATCATGGTTAAATATTGGCTTGGTTGTAGTGTGGCTTAAATGGTGACCTACCAAGTGCATAGCATTGAAGAGCATTAGCCAAGAGATTGACTAACTTTAAACAAGCAGTTACTTCGAGCTTCTATGAAGAATATAGAATCACAAATAGGTAACACTTTGAGGAATATGGAGACTCAAATAAGTAATTTGGCTAGGTTACTTACTAGAAAGAATCAAAATAAACTTTGAAGCAATACTCAAGTCATTCCATAAAAGGAAGTCATGGTAGTCACCTTACAAAATGGTATAAAGTGTTAGAAAACAAATAAAATATAAAAAAACATTTACTTGTAAACAAGTGTTAGCAGCTCACCTTTAGTAATATAGAGCGAGAAATAAAGTATCATCAAGAGCTTACTTGGTAATATCATTGTAGAGAGAGACGTCATGAGGATTTAATCAAACTTGAACTCAACTCAAGGCCACCATAAACCACGAATGAAGTATAAAGGTGACTTAGGTGAAAAAATAAGCAATTTAATATGCATACGTGCGCGCGGCACGCACACACACACACACAATTCAGGTAATTAACTGAGCAATATGACGAATTGCCTCTGGTAAAAGCTCATCAAACTAGAGCTTGCCATGTCAATAGCGTATGAGCTTCCAAAGGGAGAAAGGTATGGTTTCCTTTATCTTGACGTGCCAATTCTTCTCTTATTCCTAAAGAAACCATGTCTAACTTTGCCTTTATGCCATCTTTCATTTTTCCTAGCACTTAAAGTAAAGTTCCAATAAGACTCTCACAAACATTTTTCTCAATATGTATAACATTAAGAAAATGCCAAATATCTAAGGTGGTCTAATAAAGAGTTCAAAGAAAATAGATCTCTTCTTCTATCCACTTGTCTTAAGGTGCCTCACAAAAGGTTTGCTGAATTCAATATCCAAATCATTGATATTCTCAAATGGCTCATTACTTGTTAGTGGCAAAGGTGGCTTACCTTCTTTTAGATTTCTATTGAAGGCTTTTCTTAACCATTGATAATGATGTTCTCGTGTAAAAACCAATGATGCCCGAGGTAAACATTTTTCATCCCATGTTGTAACCTTGTAGAATGTGTTCCCTCTTCACAAATAGGGCATTCAAGTTGCCCTTTAGTGCTATACCCTGATAGATTACTATAGGCAGGAAAGTCATTGATTAGACCTAAGAGCATAGCTCTTAAATTTTTCTTCCCTATACCCATCATATACCTTTACACCTGATTCCTTACATGATCTTTAAGTCATCAATTAGAGAAGCTAAATATATGTCTATGTCATTCTAAGGTTGCTTGGGTCCCACAATCAGTATGGATAACATCATATACTTATGCTTCATACAAAGCCACGGAGGAAGATTATAAATCACTAAAATTATTGGCCATGTGCTATGGCTACTGCTTTGAAGCCCATATAGATTCATCCTATCAGTAGATAAAGTAAGGCATAAGTTCCTACTTTCACTCCTAAATTCAGGGTACTGATAATCAATCTTTCTCCATTATAGAGAATCATCAAGATGAGGAAGCATACTGTCTTTAATCCTTTCATCTACATGATATGTTAAGCTTTTCTCAACTTCTGCATTATACATGTAATATCTTACTTCACTAAACACATTTAATAAATCAAGTTCATGGTAATGAGGGATTAATTCTGAAGAGTGATTATCAAGTTTTTAATTTAAAAATAAGGAATCCTAAATTTTCTAAATAGAAACAAATTCATATTGATAAAAATATTTCACATCAGAGTAAAGATACGTTTTCAGAAGCATGGGATACCTTAGAGGAGTGAAAGAAGTTGAAAATGTTTGAAAACAAATTATATATTAAAATATAGAGCAATGCGCCATAGCAGACACACTCTGCGCTACGGTGTGTGTGTTCTCTATGCCACACTCCACGGCTCAGGCGCCATGTGCCATGGTGTATTGCACGAATTTTCACTGGTTCTACTATCAAAATGACGTCCGACATCTGATTGACGTGATCTAGGTGTCTATGAAAAGTCCTTTTCCTGTACTAACTAATGGCACAGGCTTCACTTCCAAAACACATCACACTAGGAAGTTGGACACCCAAACACCATTTAACCACTTTTCAACACTTTTATATAAAATGGGTGTTCAAAACCTTCAACAAGTGCCAAAAGCTTTTCCTAACACCTAGACCATGTCCAATGGACCTAGGACTACCAGTACAACACGTCTCAAGCATTGAAACATCATTATGATTGAAATTCACTCCTCAACCCCAATTTACCAAAAACAAAGGGGGAGGTAAGATAGCATTGCATTAAACTCTAAAACATTCAAAACATGTTTAAATCTTCTTTTCTACACTTGCACTAGTATTTTGGCCTTATAAAACATATATATGACAACATAAACCAAGGCTAAGGGCCCAAAATACAATTATAACATTTCCAAACCAAAATAGTGCAAGTATGGGTAATATGCATCCTAAAATTGGTAAACATATGCTATTACATAACTACATCTAAAACCAGAGGCATACAGGAAGGAATGTACTAATTCCCAACTCTTTAGTCTTCTCCCTCTCAACACCAATGCTAGAGCCTGAAAAGTATTAAATAAGAGGGGTGAGTCTAGCCACTCAATAACTAAGGTTAAACCTATCCTATACAGTTATATATCAATTATAAAATAAATATATGCACCATAAGATCAAAGTTATAAAACATTTCCCTATATATCACATTTTATCATTTATCTCTTTATAGCTTCTTTACTCACATAACTAGGTGCATTGTTGCCATATTTTTAGATATGTGACAAGATCCATACTCTTGTGACCTGCCACCACTTAGCATGTGTGACGTCATATATTTACTTAGGCAATGATCAACCAACCTTATATCCTCCTTATTTCCTCAGACTGAAACTGTGGGCTATAATACTGATTAGGGCTCCATCCGTGTGACTGGACTACCTAAGCTCACCAATTATGAGGTGTGACCTAGCCAAAGATCACAGAACTTACTTTCAGACTATGACTTCCCCTATTCTCGAATCCCTGGGGTGTCTTATACCCTAGGCTATTCTCCTCAATTAATCGGTGGAGATAGTTAGGTTCTAGTCTCTCGACAACTATGGGATAGTCCCTTGACAAACAATGGGACAAGGCTATAGCCCCTGTGCATTGGAGGGTAGCCTAATTACCATATGAATTTTCTCTACTCCTAAATCTCTAGGCGAACTCCCGCCACTGATCATGCCATAATCACTACTCACTTGTTCTCGATTTTCACTTTCATAAACTCACTAATACAACAATCATGTTGGGCTCATGATCTTGTGCTACCTAAGTGTATATTCTCATCCATTTCTCAAAAATTCATTTCATGACTAACACAATTACCTCTTGTAACATCCTAAAAATTTTAAGACTCAAATTTATTTAAAAAAAATAAATAAAAATAAAATAAAATATCTATAATTAAATTAAAATTTAGAATAATTTAATAGAGGCCCAGAGTTTGAATTTTACTAAGCAAAAGTTTGGTTTTATTTGATTTTTAACTATGGGAAAAATTACCAAAGTTGACCCGGGCTTTTGTGCAATAATAAAAAATGTTGGGCCCCTTTCTTGTAATTTTTCCCAAAATTTTTGACCAGCATTTTAAAGAGCAAACAGATGCAGAAAATGCAGAAAATGAACAAGGGAAGGAAACGCACAAACGGGAGAGGAGAGAGAGAGAGAGGAAGAAGAAAGGAGAAAGAGAGGGAGTTAGGCTAGGATCTAGGAGTCTTTGCGACCGTTGCGAGCTCGGCTACATGATAGGTAAACTCCCTACTTCAATCCTCTTCTCTTTCTCTTAATTTTCTTCAATTTTTGGAAGAGAAAATTTTGGATTTTGATCCTAAAGGCTTTATTCTTGTAAGCTTTTGTTTCTTTGGATTCTAGGGAGCATGTTTTGAGTTTCTATATAGTGATCTAATGTTTTGAGTGAATAATTGGATGAAAAGAGGTGTTTTGGGCACAAAATAAACCTTGAGAAATTGGGTTTTTGCTCCTCAATGGTTTAAGCCTATTGATTTAGTTATAATTTTGCTATTTGAGCCCAATAAGATTTAAATTAAGGTTTGGTTTTCATTATAAGGGCTAATGGTGAAAGTTGGTGGCACTAAGTAAAGGTTTTTGATTGATTAAAAATTATATAAATTGGAAATTAGCCTAATGATGGCTAATAAATGGTTTTGGTGGTTAAGTGATACTATGTGAATGGTTGGTTAAATATATGGACCATTAGGGTGGATTATGACTCATTGACCCAAGTTGTGTGGTATGAGTTATAGTCTTCATTGATGCTATTTATCATGATAAGTGATGTGGATCACTTATATGTTGTAGAAAATTTTTGGTGGAACTTATTGAGAAGTAAGGAACAAGCCGAGCCCTATTTTGTACAAGGGGAACCCTTTTGGTACCAAAGGGTTGAGGTAACAGGGGAATTTATATTTCTTATTACTTTGTTTTAGCTATTTTTGAATAAATATTACTAGTTATCATGCATTAAATGTTTTAAAAGATTAAATGTGCTTTATAAGGGGTTATGGGGTACTACTTTGATTATAGTGTAAATATATTTTCTAATTGTTTAATAACAATGTTTTTATGGAAATGAGATTTATAAATATTATACTACTTTAGAGTGTTGAATGGTCAATACTCAAGAAAGGTAGACAAGAGTAAAAGGCATGATCTCGGTGGGAGTTCACCAATGAGAAGGTGTGGATTTTTGATATTCTATGGCACACTGTCAGTACTCAGTGTTGTCTTACGTATTGTGGGCTCAGTGCACTAAAGTGGTTAGTGTATTGAGTGTTCGACACCTCTCAATGGAGAAGGGAATCCGACATATGAAGTGTGAGGTTGAGTGCCTAGGCCAAGGTAGCCCTCACATGGAGAGTAAGTCGGGCTGGCTCTGGGAGGGAGTTAGCTTTGACTGCTCAGGATTCACGTCGAAGGGGCATAGGTGGTTCGGTGGATTAGATCATGCCTTAGATTATGTTTTGTGCCTGTGGAGGTACAAGTAGGTATAAGGTTTACCTGCGAGTTAAAGAGTGCCAGGGGGCATTCTGTTGGTCATGAAAGGCCATATCAGCCTAGGTCATGCATTCATGCATTTTAAATGGCTAAATTATCTACTATGTTGAATTTATTATTCGTTTATTTGATTATGGCTTACTTTGTAATAATCAATGTAAATTTCGTTGTTACTGAGACTGTGGTTGTCTCACCCCCTTTCTTTTCAATATTTTAGGTCCAAGCGAAGGATCCAGTGGTGGACGGGGAAAGGAGCAAAGCTAGGGGTTTGCTTGTGATTTGTAAAGAACTGCAACCCCTTTCTTTTGAGCCAATATATTGTAATGTATTTAAGATTAGGGTGCCAGTAGGATATGATTATGTGTGTGTGTGTGTGAATATGTGTGGATTGTGTGCTTGTGTATGAATTTTTGTCTGTTTACAGACTTGTGGCTAGGAAACTTGGTTATGGTGTGTGGTTTTGATGGATTTACTTAGTAGACCAAGTTTCTATTACAAGCAAATCTTTATTTTGATATATATGTGATTTTATAAGCAAATGCAAAGTGGTTGTATTGCAAATGGTGTGCTATGGAAAAACATACAGCTTAGATAGAGAGAGTGGGTGCGTGGGTCCCACAAGGAGCTCTGATACCAAATGTCACACTTGCCCCGAGTGTTATCCAAAAATCACACAATTCAAATAAACTAAGTGTGGTTAAGGAGTTAATCCTAAAACCAACTTAGGAAACAAACCATTTAAATCACTAAGCAAATATATGATTGCAAAGTAAACATTTAAAACCTTAAAAAAAATTATAGGTTCTAACTATAGCGCACGGAAGCAAGTTAGACGAAAGAGAAATAAAAAGATACTGTCATGACAGCAAAAATAATCAAATTTTTAACATGTCTAATTTTAAATCCGACCGTTGGATCTTTTTAAAATTTGGTATACTTATAGTACCCTTTGAATGTGATGTGTAAGCTTTAAAATCACTTTGATCGGAGGTCGGATGGCGGAATGACGCCTCCCAGAAGTTGACTCGGGAGGGTTGTCATGACAGCAATTTAAATGCTGTCATGACAGTATCTTTTTATTTCTCTTTCGTCTAACTTGCTTCCGTGCGCTATAGTTAGAACCTATAATTTTTTTTAAGGTTTTAAATGTTTACTTTGCAATCATATATTTGCTTAGTGATTTAAATGGTTTGTTTCCTAAGTTGGTTTTAGGATTAACTCCTTAACCACACTTAGTTTATTTGAATTGTGTGATTTTTGGATAACACTCGGGGCAAGTGTTACACCTCTACTCATCATTGCCTTCATTTTCAAAACATAAGCATTTTCATAATAAAATATTTTTGACTTTGCATTTTGTATTTCAAGCCAAAATAGCATTGTGCTCAATCAAATGTTCATACACTCAATGAAAACTAATGCATTATGTTACATAAAAATCAATCTCATGCATGTAATATCCACCATTAGCATTCAAACAATCAATTAACATACAACTACCCAAAGTAGAGTTTTCCCCTGGTTACCTCAAACCTTTGAGGTCAAAGGTTTACTCCTCAATTAACTAGCCTCCAAGCTTGAATTTTCACTCGAAAAAGGTGACCAAGAGCCAAAACTACAAGCAATCAATTTGAATTCCATCAATAACCCAACCTCAATTAATTAAACCCTCAATCTTTACTTCTAATTTGCCTAACCTTCACTTTACATGAGATGGAGCCTAACCATTAGGTTTAATAGTTACCTTTAGCTCCCAATAGCATTAATGAGCCATTAAATTTCCATTAATGGCATCACAAACTTTCAACCACCATAATAAATGGGATTTTTGGGTATTTATGGTGCCCAACAACCCAAGACACCAATACTCATCATATCTAGGTTTAATACTCTAATCTACCCCTATTAACTCTATTTGAGTCAACAAATTTAGACTCATAACCTATATGGACCGAAATTCTACCTCAACTATCATACCTTAACCACAAACTCATAAATGTGGAAGAAAAGGAAAGATTAATGGGAATGATACTTACCTTGGATATTTGTAGCCTTCAAAATACTCTCAAAGTAATCCCCAAGCAAACCTTAGCAGAGCTAAGATGCGCCTATTCTTTATCTCTTTTCTCTTCTTTCTTTTTCTGTCTTAATTAACGTATAATAAAGTACAGAAAATGCTATGTGCCGCGGTGGATGCACAACGTGCCACGACACATGGTACAGAGAGGTCTTCCCTCACTCAGAGATGGCTGTGCACCGTGGCGGATGATCTACGTGCCACGGTGTATGGCACAGCAACTTTAACTCTTCTTTTTCTTCTCCGTTCGATGCTTGAGTGGCTCGCCTTAATACTAGACCCACAGTAAGGCTGAAATAGCATCAAATAAGATTATTAGACCTTTCCGGCCACACACCACTCCAATTTACTTAATTACCCTAATTAAATTTAATTAATTAGAGAATTAAAACTTGGGATGTTACAATAAATGCATATAAATCTAGGCACATTGGAAAATACCATAGTGCCTACATCATACTCAATTTGTTCTACTTATAGCATGAGGCATTACACTTCAGATACTCAATTAATGATGCATAGTCATTCTAAAATAAAAGGCAATTATTAAGGCATGCATGTATCTTTTCATAACTCATGCTAATTGATTGTAGCACTTGTTTTGTTCAGTAAGGAAGCTAATTTTCCTTAAGAAGTAATTCTACTTTCAATACCTAAGCAACTTAGTAAAGCTCGCATCACTCCATCTATGTTTTGCTTTCATGTTGTACAATTTTAACATTGTTGACAACATTGATACACTAAAACTAGTATATACTAGCGTCTGTTATCACTTTTTAACTTTTCAAACATTTTTAGACAATTCTTGAGGTCCTCTTCAATCACTTTGGCCATTTGTTTGAGACAATCTTCCTTAAGTACACATGTGTCAAAACTATCGAAGATGATGCATAGTTTTCACTATGTTGCTGGCTATAACTAATATCATCCCTTGTCTCACCATGCATTGTCTAACACTTATAATTTTGATCTATTCCATTAATCACTAAGTGTTCTTCACAAGTATTTGGACTAACCTGCTTCATAAGGTTATACTTTAAACATAGGCAAACAATTCTAACAGGGTCCTCCGCATGCTTAACTGCAAACTTAACAAAGTTTGCTACCCTATTCCAATATTCCTTGGATGGACTATTATCAGACATTCATTCCTCATCCATAATTCCTAGAAAATTAAAAGGGAAATACAATTAGTGACTTTGACTACTCCTAGATAATGGAGAGTTAGATATAAGGATCAATCAATCAATAAGTTACTAACCACATGTTTACACATTTCCTCTTTAATCTTGTTTAAAACTAATATCTATATTTTAATACTAGTCATTGGAATAATTTTAGCAGCATAACGACTTAAAAAAGAGAGTTTATTGAGTTTTTTTCCCTCTCTTTATTAAAAAAATTTCATCCTACAAGTTTTCTTATAACTTAAATTATACTCAATCAAGTTATCCAACAATAATTGATACAAAAATTTTATCCAATAGTAAAAAATTTAGTAGCATAATGGCTTAAAAAAGAGAGTTTCTTTGGCTTTATGCCTTCTCTTTATTAAAAAAAATTTCAACATGCAAGTTCTCATATAATTGAATTATACTCAATCAAATTACCCAGTAATTGATACAAAAATTTCATTCTAAAAATCCATGATATAACTCAACTAGACCTAGTTAAGCTATCCAACAACAAAATTATCAATACTACTACAATAAGGGAAGCAAATTTTCAACAAAATCATAATTCCTAATAGTAAAATAATTTTTATATAATCCTAAATTTAACTTCATTATTAACAAAGAACCTAATACCCCAAGCTATATAGATATATACATATATTCAATTTGTAAGAATGAATAAAAATTTCATATACCAATCAGTAATTCCAATTAACTTCTTAATTACAATCAATAGACAATAATACCACAAGGAAGAAATTAAAGGGTAGAATAAGGATAGGTCAACTTACTTAAGAGAAGTACACCACTACATGAGGATGAAGAAGTAGAGGAGGAGGAGATCAGAGAAGACCACGATTCTCACTGTTGAATAGTAAGAAGGGGAATTTCAGATGGGATTTACACTAAACATTAAACCTAAAAAAGAATTAAGAAGACAAAAGAGAAACTCAAGAGCAAGGTATTGAGAACGAACCCAAAATACACAAAATGTAGTCTCGGATGAATGAACCATGCATGAAGTTGAGAAAAAGGATATCATGAGCAAAACCCACTATGAATTGAGTGTGAATTTGTGTTTTTAGGCAGTTCTTATGATGAAAAATGGATTTCAGGGAGTCTAGATGTGTTTCTAAAAACGTTCACGTTACAGAAATGTGAAAAGGAAAGGTTTTAGAGCATAAATTTAAAAGAAAATACTTAACGATTATTATGAAATAATCGTCGAGTATCACTTACTTGATGCTTTCTTTAAAACAATTGTCAAGTATTAGCCAAACATACTTGACGGTTGTTTCAAAGAAAGCATCAAGTAAACATTTTCTTTTTTAAAATTATATATTTGACACTTATTAAGATATAACCGTTAAGTATATGATTTATATACTTAACAGTTGTTTTCAAACAAGTGTCAAATATATTTATATATAACATAATTTTAGATAAAAGATATATTTGACAGTTACTATTATAGAATCGTCAATTATATGTTTAAATATTTGACAATTTTTAAAAAAAAACACATCAAGGATTTAGATCCTTTTTTATTTGTCATTTTTAGCTTATAAATGTCAAATATGTGGTGTTATACTTAGCTTATTCTGTGGTAGTAATGATTGAGAATTTTAGAACGATATTATTTAATTTTATTATATGTTTCTAAATTACCTAGTTTAGGTAGGGATGTAGCTAAATTAGGGAGTTAGTTTTTAATTTATTTTGTTTTGACTCTTTTCTTTTATTTTCATATATTTTTTCCAATTATATTTATTTCTTTTGCTCTTCATGTTGATTTCATGATTAGCCACCATTTAATCAAATCTATAGGTAATCTCGGTGGACTGGGAGATGAAGAGAGAACCTAAATCTAAAGAAATAGATATAAATAACTAGGTTAGGAATAGTTCTAGATTAGGGAAGCTACTCGACTTGGTATATGAAAAGAGGTTCGATAAGAGGTTGAATGAGAATTTTATGCATTGCTCCAAGAAGAAATAATGACCCAGCTTTATAAGAAGATGAAATCTATAGTCTTGGGCATGACAATTATAGTAGTTGAACATACATCCTAGGTTTGTGTGCATTTAATTTAATGTAGATTAGTGTTTAATTTTATTAACATTTAATTTTTTTTATTTATTTCGTCCAGACTTCCCCTATGATACAAAGCACCAAAGATAATTGTATTCTACTAGAGGCACTGGCATTGGCACTAGTAGACCCCGATCCTCCTGTACCAGATGACAAAGGAACTCATTGCTATCTTTATTCAAAGGTTTCAAAAAAAAACATGTTTTTGCTGAAGGTCAAGTATACAATACATTTGTGTCTTCAATCCATCATTAAAAAAATTGAGATGATCAAGTTAGGGTGATAGTTACAAATGTTTGGATAGGTGACGATAATGCATCGGTGCCATTTCTTACCTCTAAAGTTGCAACAGTAGCCCAAACAAAAAGAGCTTTCATTCTATGGCCCAAAAGTTTTGTGTCAAATGTGGATGTAACAAGTTTACAAGAATATGATAGAGGCCATTAATATTAAAATGCCAATGAGTATCGTGGGTGCAAAAATGCAATATGTCTTTCCAATTGACAAAAAACACCTCAAGGAGTTTCTAATTTTAAAGGAACTGGACATTTCATTTGCCCAATTAGGAATCTTGTATTTACTTTTCTCCATTTTTCATAGATTTCTTTCATGGCACTAATGTTTTAATTTGAACACATTTCAATGATGAGAACCTTTACAATGCATGCTATGAAATAGAAAAAAAAGAAAAATTTAGATTTCTGTGCTAGGAAGCTTTTGTAGGGGAAAAGGAATGCAATACATTGGAGGAAGACATAATGCGATGAATTATATGGTAGATATAAGTTGTCATGTTATCTAACGCTGATTATTGAAAGACAAGTATTTTTTATTCATGTTTATATATTTCTAAAGTTGTTTCATGTTATTTAATAAATATAAAACAATTTTATATTTTGCAGGTATCATTGGTCACTTTGCATTCCTTGCCTTCCTGAAGCTATAGTATACTGGTTTTGTTCTCTGGGCAATAAACTAAGTGATAAGATTAAATATATTTTCAACAAGTAAATTTATCCTAGTAAAACCTGTTAAGTGAATGTTGACGATGTATATTTTTAATGTTTTTTTTCATTTACAACTCATGATAGAGTGCTTTAAACATATTATATGTCGACTAGATTACGTAAGGAGGAGATAGCGATTTATTGGATTTACCCAAAAGTGAGTATGAACACTTACTTCTATCTTTAATCATCATTCACTTGTATGAGATTTACCCAAAAGCTAGTTTATTTAATTTTAAATTTCTGTGTATTTTCAGTCCAGAGTAGTTAGGATAAATAGAATGTGGATATTATATTATCCCTCACATGTATAAGATAACTAAAGTAGGAAGTACCATGAAATTGCATAAGGTATTTATTTGATTTTGTAATTTTAGTTTAAATTCTTTCATCAAATTCTTCAAGAGAACTTTTCAATGTAAGATGTTGCAATTAGTTGATAAGATTAGATACAATGGAAAAATATAATGTTGCACTATAAGAATTTGTTAAATTAGACACCCCATATTTGACGGTCATATGATAAAGCAAAAAATAAAAAAGTCAATGAATACTTGACAGTTGTTTCAAAACAACCATCAAGTATTTAAAACTATACTTGATGATTATATTGAAAAAACCATATAATATATATTTTACCTTAATTATTGTTGGAAAGACATATAGTTGATGCTTGTTTGAAGATAACCATCAAAAATATGTTCAATATGTTGGACAGTTATCTTCAAACAAGCATCAAATTCATTATTTTTCAAAACAAATTGAAATAAAATTAATTACTTGACATTTGTTTTGAAAAAAAGTCAAGTATGTCTAGAACATACTTGATAGTTGTTTCAAAATAAGCATCAAATATAAATAACTATCAAATATTAGCATTTTAAATTATAACTCCAAAACACTTTCCCTCTTCACATTTTTGCAACTTTAAAATAATTCAAAACACATCTAAACCACTTGAAACCCATTTTGCGTCACTCTAGCAGCCAAAATGCATGACTTCACATTTGATTCCTTGTGGGTTTTTGATTTTCAATGCCAATCATGCTCGTAGGTGCTCGTGCTTGTGCTCTTGGATTCTTTGCTTGTGGCTTGCCCTTTCTCCATTTTTGCATATATTCTCTTCCTTTTAAGGTTGGTTCTTGCTTTTTCAATCATTAATCCTCATTTTGAATTCATAGGTTGTTAATTTTGAGTTATATATGTAATGAGTTATTCGAATGTTGATTATTTTGTCTCTCCATTGGTTTTCTTGTTAATGGGTGTTTGAAATTTAGAATTTTGGTTACTTGATGGTGCTTATTCTGTAATTGAAAGATTACTTTTGATTTTTTATTGCTTGAATTATAATTTTTACATTCTTAGTGTTTGAATTGATTGAAAATTGGCTTATGTAATTGTAATTTTGATTTTTTAAGTTGATATATATAGTGTTTAATGTGGATTATATGATTTTCATTAAAATTTGGCTTCTTAGTGGTGTTATTATTGTTGTTGCTAGATCATATATCAACATATTGTTCTTATCTTGATCTATTTAATGGAGAACCAAGCAATAGAGAAGATATGGTCGTACTTTTTAACCAGTAAGTTGAATTATATTTTTTACTTGTTATTTTTAATTTCCATATATATATTTCTTGCATTCATTCGATACTTTCTTCTTAGTGCTATGGTGTTGTATCACACTGTGATCAACAAGAATGTGTCCTCCCAAATGAGGACATTTGACTTTTTTGAGAAATGAGTCACTGTTAATGTATTCATTTAATTGACTAAATTTTTAATCAAGAAATCATGACATGTTATACAATTTCATTGATATATATGTGGTTTTTTTGTAGTGTCCACTTCAGCCAAATCAAGCAATGACTGTGGTTATTGCCTAATGTAATTCATGAAAGACATAATCACCCATACACCTACCATATTATCAGACAAGGCATATTAAATTTAATTACATTTAAATTATAAATTTTAACCAACTTTAAATAGCTAGCTATTAACTTAAACTTGTTGTGACTATTTGCTCACAGTACTTTAAGGACGTCTACTGCATTCATTATATAATTGTAGATGTAGAGAAAATCCTTAAAGAGGTGGCCCAAGCCATGTTCAATATTTAGGTAGCAGCAGCAGTTAGGCCAGCCTAATAGTTTGTTAAGTAGGTATATACATTTTCATGTTACATTTTTCTTGGCTAATTTTTATGCCTAAGGCGGGCCACTTAATTAGTTTTGAAAATTTAATTAGTTTGCAAATTATGGTTTAAGGGGCTATAGGTATAGGAATTTAATTTATTATCCTTTAATAGTAATCTTGATAGAAACATTCATTGTATTATTTTTGGATAATGGTTGACTAGTTTTATTTTGTATTTTGTGTATCTTTATATAGGATGGCTACTTGGAAAGTAGCTCATCCTTTAAAAAAAAAAATCATGAACACTTGACGGTTCTTTAGATATAACCATCAAGTATTTGTAAACTTGATGGCTATCTACAAATAATTTTCAAGTATTTTGAAATACTTAATGGTTATTTGTAAATAACCATCAACTAATTATGGCAAGAACCAAAAAAATGAGGCCTAATTTTTGCCATAATAACTTGACGGTTATTTATAAATAACCATCAAGTATTTTTTATAATACTTGATAGTTATTTGTAGATAATCGTTAAGTATACACTTCTAGAAACAATTATGTAAGTACTTGATGATTATTTGTAGATAACCGTCAAGTATATGCTTCTAGAAACAATTAGGTAAGCATATACTTAACATTTATTTAGAAATAATCATCAAGTAAAGCTCTTAATACTTGATAGTTTTTAATTGTCAAGTACAGCCCTAATATGTGGCACCCTTTTACTTGATGGATAAAACCTATCAAATATAGGCCAAAATAACTATCAAGTAATGGAGTCTTCTATGGTAGCATTAGTTACAATAATTAGTCGATCAAATTGCTAGATTGATTACTTTAGACACAATGGACAAATATTATGCTATCTACACATATAACTAATTGATTTTACTAATTGGCTAGCTATTTTTACCTGCTAGATATATTCTTGACAATTTATGGGTTTATTTTATGGATAAGGTAGAAAACAAAATGGACATTAAAAAAAAATAACTTTTCACATTGGTTATGTCCAAACTGACGTGAAATATCTACTTCCCACATTAGTTAGTAGTTGTAACCAACATGGAATGTCTAACTTTCCACGTTGGCTTGGACATAACTGACATGGAAAGTTTGTTAACCGACATGAAAAGTCGTGCTTTCCACCATAGAATGTTTAACAACCCTTTTAAACCTATGTAAAATGTCTAAAATAACCAATGTAAAATGTACTTCTTGCAATAGTACATTCATTATTATGACAGGTTATCGTTCAAAATACAACACACTTCACCAACAATTTTATAACATAAAACAATTCATGGATTTTCACCACCAATAGTAATCCTCTCACACCAATATAAGTTTTATACATATTAAAATATTCATACAATCTAATGAAAGAGAATATAAAATAAATTAACTGCAGTTACCTCACTCTATATTAATTTAAGCAAGCTTGTGTAAGCCACTAACGTAAACAACCAAACTACAAAGTGAATAACATACTTATAAACTATAATTTCAATTAAATGAAATTTACGACATAAAGTCACTAATTCCAACTAAATTCTCCAAATCTTTGTTTCAATTGATTTTAAATTTCACATTCTGACATCAATTCTAATCATTCCTCAATCCAATCAACTTATACAAAACCCCTAATTTCTACCAATTAGGGTTCCTTCAACATCCCCAAATTTCAATTCAAGGCCAAATAATAAATTCTAAACTAATTCAATTTCAATTAATCTTCAAATAAATCATGTATGATTACTTGAACAAAGGTTACCATACTTACTCTTGGACCATGAATTTTTCCTTTCTTGAATCTCAAGGGTGTCATGATGCTTGACCCATACCATTCCTTGTAAGAAGCCGGTGATGCAAGATATGCCACCCATATCATTTTTCTAAGGACAATGGCAATACTAAGCAATTTTCATATTTTCACCAACCACCAGGGCCACTTGCAGTAGAGGCTTATAACATGGATTTGAAGTCACTACCCTACTTAGAATGAACTCCCACCCAACACGATTGTGCCAAAATACATCACATGCACATATTACATGTAATCATGTTCTCATACTCAATTTTAGTAATATCTAAACCCGTATGCTTGAGTGTCATAATCTATCACATAGAAGCATTTCCAATGACATACTATAACATAATCACCCACTTTACATTATTTTCTAAATCGTATGTATATTATTTCCATATCTCACAAAACTCATAATTACAAACAAATAGTATATACAAGAATTTATGTTCCTAGTTACCTCAACTTAGTTTGCCAACCAAGAGTACCCATGAGTACCAAGTGGAACTTCCAACAAGCTCAAATGCACCAATAGAGGATTAATTTAGATTCCGCAATGGTTTTTATCATCAATAATCATAACATGAGTTTTATTTAATCAAAATATTAACCCAAATTTCTCATTGTGGTCATTAATGTAACATCCCAATTTAAATTTTTAGAGTTAATTAGAGTTAATAGAAATTAGGAAGAATATTTGAATGTAAATAAATTAATTAGGAAATATTTTTTTAGTTCAACGTAGGACAAAATTTCAAGTTAATATTTTTGAAAATTAAAATAATAATAGTAATAAAAATAAAATGATATATATAAGAGTAAATAAAATAATAATAATAATATAAAAAAAAACGAAAGAAAGGAGTTGCAGAAGAGGTTTGAGTAGGGAGTAAATTAAGTTGGATATATATATATATATATATATACCCACCCAATGTATATCTCCCATTCAATTTCTTTTCCTTCTTCCTTCTTCTCGAGCAAGTCACGACAATAGGGAGGGGAGGGGAGAAGAGACAAAGCGGTGGTTCTTGGATTTTAGAAATTTTGAGGGGTAAGATTTCATATTTAAAATTACCCCCATTTTCAAAACTCCTTTAATAAATATTTTCCTACTCTTTTTAATGATAGTAATATTTTGATAAATGGAATAAATTTTAAGGTTAAGGCTTAGAGTAAGTATTAACTTTTAACAAACAGGAACTATAAGATAGTAGAAAAAAATTAGTATTTAAGTTCTATTAGTTTAGATTTATTCTCTTGACTGATTTAAGAGTTTAAAATTAACATTTTAGTTATAAAATTTTGATTTATGATATATAGGATATTTTATATTGATTAAATTGTATTTTTGGAATTTTTGATAAGTTAATCTAACTTACTTTTGGGTTTTAATTGGAGGAATTTAGATTGGAAGGATATGGTTGTAAATTTAAGAATTTTATAGGTTAATTTTTGAAGTATTGGGCGGTTATGGGATTGAAATGATTATTTTTTAGGTTTAGAAATAGTGAATAAATGTTAAAATTTCTTGTGGAATATTTACATTGTTGACAGAGAATGAAAATTTGGATTTTGGTTGAAGTTGAATTTGGGAAATTGAGAAGTTTAGTTGAACTTTATTTTTAATAGACAAATTATAATATATATATATATATATATATAATGGTGTTTATATCATTTAATATTGTATGTTAATTTGTTTGTGTGGCTAAGGAATTTCTTGCATGTTTAAGTTAGTTATAGCTCATAAAATAGGCAATATTAAAATATCCTTTCATGTATTGAGATACTAATTTTTATTATTGTGTGTGTGTGTTATATATATTGATGCTTGGAAATGTTGTTATGCCCTTAGAGGGCTTGTTTATTGTTTTCCTGAGGATTGGTTTAGAACTTTCTAGCATGCTTGTGTTTATATGAAAATTTGTTATACAACAATTTGTTCCTTTTAAAGCATCCTAGTGACTATTATACAATTAATTTGAAAAATTGATGATTGAGAATAACTAGAATTCTTTTCAAGCATACTTGTATGATTTTATTGTGAAATGTAATATTTGTTTTATATTATGCAAAAGAGTTAATAAGGATGGCTAGTGCTATGGTTATTTGTTTGGGGATGATGATTTGCTCTTAATGTCATGTGGTTTGCCTCCACTACTTGCACATTGATTGGTTTTTGAAAAGCCCTCATTCATGTCAAGCTTTTCAAAGAAAAACTAAAATGTAAAAGAGAGTACATCCTAGGTCATTTTAATCCCATGGAAGCAAGCAATGGCAATCAATACAAATTCATAGACCATAACAAGTTAATGGTAGAGGAGAATTCAAATGAGATTAAGAGTTTGGAGTATTTATAGTTTGGATTTTTGAAAAGTGACAAAAGGAAAATGCTGAAGGTTTGACCAAGCATTTAAAGTTGTTCTTCAAGGATTGAATCCACCTACACCATCCTAATCTTCCTGACTTGATTCAATTTGGTTCTTGCCCTTCAATTAACATAAAGGTGCCTAAATAACCTTTGGGACTAGGCACAAGTGATTAGACTAATTCACAAACACTTTGAAAGCTTATGCCAATCTATGACTTAGCTCTTGAAACCAACCCTAACTCTTGCCTGATCATGTTTAATATCTTAAACCAATCAAGATTATGATTTTAACTACAGTTTAAGACCTAAACAATAGCTAATGCATGTCTAAATAGAAATAAATTGAAATGAAAATATGTATTCATTTATCAAAACCTTAAGGCATACACACAAACACTCAGAGTGCACAACTAGTTCAAGAATCAAGTATATATCTTTTTATTCTTTAAATAAGAAATTTGGCCAAGATGAGACAACTAAAACCTAGATTGAATCATCAAGAACACAAACAAAAGAATTAAAGAAGAAGATGAGAAGAATCATAAGAAAAATGTAATGAAAAAAAAGTTAGATAAACTCAAGCATAGGCTTCATCTCCTTTAAGAAGATCTAGCAATTCATGGTGATTGTCTTTATAATCCATATAGAAATTACTCCTTGAATGGCTTCCATAGATTCAAACCTTGATTGAGAAGAGGACAATGATGGTTGGAAGTGAAGAGATGAGAGAAAATAGAGAGCAAACAAAATGAAAGTAGATCTAGAATTGTGAAGTGAGAGAATGCGTGAGTGATGAAAACAATGTGATTTTTTTGAGTGAGCCTTAGTGATTCACATCCAGCCTTCCTAATCAGCATGTGAGGGTGTAAAATAAGTAGAATGGAGTGGGTTCTAGGAGATCAAAGCTAAGGAGAAATCTGAATTAGTTAACCAACTTGGTTAAGGAGTTAATAAATGTGACCACTAATCAAGCTAGATTAATTTGAGTGCATTTGTAGCTTCATAGAGGCTTCCACCCTTGATCAAAACTCCTTAACACTTCTAAAATGATGATGATAGGTTGATTAAGGGGCTGCTTTGTTGAAATCCTCATGGTTTAGAGTTATTAGAAGCTCTTTGAATCAACTCTTGCACATGTGTCATTTTAGGGTCTTCTTGCTTTGTATTTTGTCTTATAATCCAATCTTCACTAGAGTGATCAAAGCATGTGTGCAAAATTTCAAATAAAAACTCAAAGCCAACTATAAGATACAATGTCACTTCCAAGGTCCTAGGTTATAAAACATGATAACATAATATTAATGTTTTTGTCTTGAAACATCCTGTAACTTATGTCTTTTGATGTCTTTTTTGCTACCTAGAATGAATTTGAATCTCAAACTTATTCCATTAATCTTAGAAAGAAAAAGACACAAACCAAGCTAATGTCCCAAAAATTGTCAAAATGACTAAGACCTTAGGTTAAAAGTAAATCATAATTAATTGATTCAAAAGGCCTAAAAATGTCTAAGTATGAAAGAATTAAGCTTCCAAGAATGCAATAATGTAAGAATATCATCCTAAAATGTATGCAAATAATGCAATATGTTAGTCTTTTACTTGTAATTCCTAATGTCATGACATTTTGGGGCATGGGCAATGCCTTTTTAAGGAACGGACTCTTATTCCAATGGCAATGGACCTTTAGTTGGGCATAACCTTAGTTTAAGCTCCATTTAGCGATAATAAGAGAGTTGGGAGTCATAAAAGTGAGATTGGGTAATGCATCATTGTTGTTAATTTGATATTGATTTAGAAATTGTTACTTGTATGATTTTAAATCTTGCATACCTTGTTTTTGTACTATTTGTGAAAGGATTGCAATACACACACACACGCATTTGCAAATTGGTTTAAAAAAAAGTATATAGGTATATATTAGAATCCAACTATTACTAAGATTTTTGATCTCACATGTTACCTCTTACCAATTTTCAAGTGAGTAGTTAGGTGGAGAGCTATATAGAGGGTATCAGAGAAGTGAGCTTAGGCTCTTTTTCTCGACTTCACATATTCTGTTTGTTTTGTGATTATCGTTGCCATAACCTAGGAACTTAATATATAACTTTATTTTGGATAATTATTGTAGGTTATTTTGGAGAGAGAGATGTTGTTGAGGAGAGAGGAGGAGTGCCAGGCTTCATTGATTCTAAGGTCTTGGAGCATGGTTTAAAGCCTCCCAATACTCTATTTATCTCGGTGACTGCCATTCACCAATTAAGGAGCTTATATAGGTAACTTTGTTGCTTTTTCTTGCGGGGGGCAACCGCATTTAATTTACCTCACATGCTTAACTTTATTTTAGAGTGAATTTCCTAATTTGTGAATAAATATATTATAATATATATATACAAATATTATAATTCTATGAGAATAATTCCGTTAAGTGAGATGCTTGTGGATAATTTTTATGTGTTGGATATTGTTTTAGAATAAGAAATGTTTGATGAATTGAGAACACAGCCACTAGCCATGTAATAAGATTGTGTCTACAATTAAGAGATGTAAATATTGAATATGATATGTGCAGTGTTCAATCATGATGCTTAATTTTTCAAGATTGAGTCTAAAAAAATAGGTTTGAATGAGTGCCCATCCCATATTTTATTGGCTCAAAGAATAAGATCACTTTTAGGGATCTCATTAGTGCTTCTTGTAATTCTTATAGGGGGTTTTCCAAATATAACTCATGTTATAGAACTAAACGAAGCAAATAGCTCAATATTTATTATATTTTGCATAATGGCTAATTTATTATATTTGTCAATATTATACTGTTGTATATTAATAATAAATTCCTTATAAATTTTCAAAATTTTAATGATAAACTGACTATATATTAATGAAAACCCTTTATATCTATTGTGAATTAGCCATACTCTCAAATTTTCAAAAATTTAGCTCATATTTTTCTGGACACAAGATTTATTTATTTTTTTTTGGGCTAATGGGCCAATTTATCCA